TTTTTTTTTTTTAAATAGTTGATCTTTTGTTACGGCTGAATATCTAAACAAACGTAAAATACCACAGACCTGAAGTATTTTGTGGACATTACATACATATTTATTTTAATATTTATGCAAACATTACAATGTTTAAATGCAATATCAAAAATATGATAAAAATAAAACAAATCTAGTTAGTCAAGATAATGTATCTCAAGAAGGTTACTTTGCCACTGTTGATGAAGTAACGCTGTGTTGTATGTCACAGGTTCATACATTTCCTTTTCGGTTTCACAGACAAGAAGTAGTATTTCATACAAAAACTCAGACGCTGTCATTCAGTGTAAGTTATGACAATGTTGAGCAGTAAATCCAACGAAGAGCTCAAACGGATGCTGGATGATTACGGAATAAAACACGGTCCTGTGGTCGGTAAATTAAATTCTGTGTGATTTAAGACAGTCACTATGTGAATGGGATTGTTGCAGCGTCACTGAGATACTATTATAATTTTTATAAAATATTTAGAATTAGTTTTTATTTTAGTATTTTCCATTTTAATTGTAATTTTAGTTAACGTTTTAGTATTTTTGTTGCTTTTATCATTTTTATTAGTTTTTTATTGTTATATAGTTGCCTATATAGGTTTTAATAATTTAAATTTTAGTTTTAGCTGTTTAGTACATCAAGTTAAAATACATTTAAATGAGAAGTACTGCTTTGGTAACTACCTAAAATGTTTAAATACTTTATTTTAGTTAATGTTTATTTTACTTCAAGTAACATTTTTTTTATAGTTTAAGTTTTAGCTTTAGTTAACTATAATAGCCCTGGATTGTTGCTTTCCTTCTTCTTTTTTTCTTCAGGATGTCTTTTTATGGTCTTGCATGTGATTTGTGTATATTAATTTCACCAGATTCCACCAGAGCCCTTTATGAGAAGAAGCTGAGAGAAGCCATGTCTAAACACAGAAGAACCCAAGTTCAATCCGACAGGACATATTACAGGGAAGAGGGTAATGCTTACATGACGATCAACACAAAACACGAGTATCTGTCACAAATCACACCAATGATCTGAATTGGTTACACCTTTGCTTTACAGAGGACGTCACCTATGTTCAGCATCACAGACCTGTGAGTAGCTACTAACACTTATTAAAACTAGTTTCAGACTTGTTTATATGCTGACTAATGATTCATTTGTGTTGATTTAGCAACTATATGATGATGTGAGCAACAGGTAAGTCAGCCTGAATATTAGAGCAGTTTAAATCATGTTATGGTAAAACAGTGAAACTAACAAGCTTTTTTTGGTTTATTAGAACGTGGTCTGATTATAGAGGGATGGACTACACAGATGAGTATGATGGCTTTGTTTGTATACAATTATACTGAAAGTGTGTCACAGTTAGGGGAATTATTTTTATTAAATGTATACATTTTTTTGAAGGCCTGCTATATATAGGACTCAAGCTACTTACCAGAATATGTCACAAGCAAGAAACCTACCGCCAGAGCCTCATATCCAGAAAACACCCGAGAAGACGCGCCTGGTCCCAGTCTGGCTACAGATATTAGTGTTTCTGATCGTATCTGGTCTTCTGTACTTGGTTTATATAAATATGGAATCAGCAGAGCATGAGAAAAGACTGACGTAGCTCTTCCTTTAGTGATTAAACTGAATGTTACAATTCTAAAACAAGCAAATATTCAGCACAATAGATGTGATTTTTAACATATTGCAGTGCATTTTAACTTCCTAAATCTTGGTTATTTTGTGTGTGATGTTTTATCAAAGTAATAGCCCAACACTGTAACTCTTTTGTGAATATGAAGGAAGTGGGTGTTACAGGATGCACCTGTTGAAAGATTATTTTTAAGATCTTTTATTTTGTTCCTTGGTCAAGATACAATTGTCCATTGTAATGCTGCAATACATTTTACAGTACTGAATTTGTAGTAATTTCTTGGGCTCATAAAAGTTTGATATATTACAACTTCTACTACTACTAGAAAACGTTAAAGCCTTTTTGTATGAATTATATAAGCATATTTGAAAGGTTACAGTTACTGAATTTGGTGTTCATCATTTTACAGTAGGTAATGGTTTTTCCATTTGTCTGGAAGCGTCACTCTTGGATTTGGGTCATCCTCTGAATTATATGTATTTGGAGCCAAATCATATGAATGTCAGAATCAATTGTTTCTGGTGTTTTGTGATTTAAAAAAACTACAGGTTTTATTGAAAGGAACTTTTTTTAGATACACCTGAAAATGTCTTTATTAATAACAAACCGTAAAAACACTGTATGCATGTCAAAATTGTGATTTTTGATTTTAATGGCAAAATAAAAGTCTACAAATTTTATTACATGTACCAAAAACTGCAACAAAACAACAACCATTAATTCTCCACATTGCAAAACATGGAAGTAAAATGAAGTGACAGCTGTGTTTTCACACCTTTTTTATTACAATTTGAGAATTTTGCTGATTTACTATTGTTTTTATGGGTACAAAACATGTATAAATGTTTTAAACTAAACAAGCCTATATGAGTTGCAAATCTGTCAGTCTCTACCTGTGACTCAGATTTAAAAACCATCATTTGAGTGTATATACTGTTCTGTAGTGTTCACAACTGTTTTCTTGGCTTAACAAGACAATAGTAGTGCTGCTTAAAATGTTTAGTGTATGCCTATAATCCACACTAAAACCTTTATTACTATGCTGCTTAAAATGTTTAGTGTATGCCTATAATCCACACTAAAACTTTTATTACTATTACTGTTACTGTTCCTATTTGTAAATACGGGGATTATTTCCTGTGCTGTTTTAGAAATGTGTTGGAGGATTTGTTCTTTTTCTGCTTAAGCATCACATTAGATCTACTGTATAATGAGTTCAGAGAGCCCACTTTCATTTCAAACAGAACATACGAACAAACCAGGTAAAATACACAATGAAATAATACTTTTATATTCATGTAGTGACTGATAGAGGTTGTTCGTAGGCTGTCTGTCCCTGTTCCCACCTACAACTAACCAAACATTATACACATAAGATCTTTAAAAACAACTGTAGTAGAAAAAAAATAAAAATAAATATATCATTTTAAATTATATAAAGCCCCTTAGAGAATACAAAGAAACAAAAGAAGAAAACCCAAAACATTTCACAGTTTTACAGTCTATACCTGCAACGATATGGGAAGACCTCAGAACGGGTCAGACATGGTACCTCTAAAAACTAAAAAGCCCTTTTTAACCTTGTTAGTGCAACAGCTTGTGTTGTAATGTTACCTCTTCAAGTCTAGTGATTTCAGCATTTACCTGCACAGAAACAAATTCTCCAATCTCCAGTAACATTGAAAGAAAACCCCCCAACCAATGACAATTCAAATGTGTTTCTCTGTAACTGACAGAGAACAGCAGATAGTAAGAAAAGGTGGTTCTTCAAACTTAGACGTTCCCTTTGGTTTGGACAGGCCACTGAAACACCAACCTCAGGTGGACCAAGTGACTAGTTTCTAGTTGCTGAAACAACAAAAATCCACACACAGATGTTACTTTCTGATTCAGTGTCTGTGCTTTTTTTCTCCTAAAGTAATGAGCAATAAAAACTAAAGTTTAAACTAGAGTTTTAATGCCTTTACACCTGCACTCGTCAACATAGGTGCTAATCGTTTCATTTCCGACTGAAACACTAGCCCGGACCAGAATTGTCATCTTGTAGACAAAGAAATTTCTGCCAAAAAAAATTCAAATCACAAGAGTAAGCTGTACATTGTATGTGCACAGTTAGAACAATCGTGCTGTGCGTGTACAGTATATCATGTACTGTACTGCTGAGGAAATTTGTGTCACGCACGTAAGCATAAAAACTGAAGTATACTTTGGGCTTTGTTCAAGTGCTTGTTGGCACAACAGATACACAATTTATAATTTATCACACCTTGTTGTGTTGTGCCTGATTAGGAAAAAACTCACCCCCTCCCAAAAAAAAAAAAAAACTATACAGAAACAATCAATAACAACACAAATAAAAACAAAACTAAGCCAAAACAAAACTCACATTACCTTATTTTTGAACTCCCATTACTTGATTGTCAAGGCAATGTATGTGTTGTCAACACCTGTAATAAAAATATAACTTGTCAGAAAAAGACAAATTATTTAATATTTACATATAAATAATTTGACAAATTATTAAATATTTTTTGAAATCACATAGCTATACTCACAGGTCCTGCTCTCTCGCTCCAGTTCAGTGGGTTTGCTCCCTCTCTTGCAGTAAACTTTGGCAACAATCAGAATGGCACATGTCGCCACCACAAATGTCAAACTGGATACCAGTAAACTGATGACCACTGGGCTTATCACCGGATCCACTTCTACTTCAAAAAAACAGCAAACCAAATTAAGGTCAAATGCATAAATGTCTTAAAGTAAAGTAAAACTGAAAAAGCGACAGATCACAGATCTTCAGTATTGTGAAGTAAATGCAAGTGAATTGAAGCTTGTTTCTGCCACGGGATAAAAAAAGGTAATTGCGACTTTTTAACCTCACAATGCTTTTTTCCCCTCATAATCAGAATTTATATCTCATAATTCTGACTTTTTTCCCCCTCATAATTCTGTTTACATCTTGCAATTCTGACTTTTTTCTCAGAATTCTAAGTTTGTATCTCACAATTCTGTGTTCTTGTAAAAAATTTAATTGTGAATTTTATCTCGCAAAATAGTCCGACTTGTGAGATAAAAAGTTGCATCTTTTTTTAATTCTGTGGCGTAAACAAGCTTCAATTTTTTTGAAATTGAGATTTATACATCATCTGAAAGCTGAACACATAAGCTTTCCATTGATGTATGGTTTGTTAGGATATGACAATATTTGGACGAGATACAAGTATTTGAAGATCTGGAATCTAACGGTGCAAAAAAATTTAAATATTGAGAAAATCGCCTTTAAAATTGTCCAAATGAAGTTCTTAGCAATGCATATTACTAATCAAAAATTAAGTTTTGATATATTTACGGTAGGAAATTTACGAAATATCTTAATGGACATGATCTTTACTTAATATCCTAATGATTTTTGGCATAAAAGAAAAATCGATAATTTTAACCCATACAATGTTTTTTTTGGCTATTGCTAAAAATATACCCAAGCGACTTAAGACTGGTTTTGTGGTCCAGGGTCACATATGAGTGTAATGGATTATCAATAAAAAAAAATTGAAGAATATGAATGATTTAGAAAGTAGATGTATTAGAAAATAGAGGGCAAGTCTACCTGGGCTGGCAGCACACAACTCACCTCGAATAGAGATGGGTAAAGGCTGACTCTCCCTCGAGATAAATGTGCGTTCTCCAGTCTGGACCTTGTAAAGACAGCAGTAGTAGCCCTCACTATTGGACTGGGCATTGGAGAAGGTAAAAGTGACGGAGGGAGCGAGGGCTGGCAGAGAGTGCCGGATGGTCCCGTTGGGCCTGATGAGCCGCAGCTGAAAGGATCCTCCTGGATACTGAGGCTGAGTGGAGCAGGTGACGTTAAAACTGTGGCTCCGGGTGACCCAACCCGGCCGGGCCTCAGGAGATGTGTTGTACCAGATTTGGGGAGTGTGAATCTCCACTGAGAACAAGTAATAAAGGTTAGACTTAGACTTTAAGCTTTCAATTACAACTTCAGCAGCAGATGTGACTTACAGACTGTGATGTTAATGAAGTTGCTGTGTGGAGAATATCCTGAGGGAGAGTTTCCCAGTTTGCTGTGTATCCTGTAGAGACAGCTGTAGCTGCCCTGGTGCGAGATTTCCAAGTCTGACAGAGTCAGATCCACCGTCATTTGTCTGGAATCGGCTCTCTGGGTCACTAGCGGAGTGTCCACACCTCTTTTGTACAGATGGAAGTCAATGACGGACTGCCAGTATGGGGCAGTGCATTTAAAGTGAACGGCCTCTCCGGCTGAATAGGTGTAGAAGCGAGACTGAATTGACAAGGTTGGTGCTAGAAGTTTTCCTGGTTGGAGAAAAAATGATGAACAACTACAAACAAACACAGGTTGCGTAAAACAAAATACAAATCTTTCAAACGCTCTCATACCTGTGCACTCCACTCCAGCATCCTCACTGTGCATACACACGTCATCATTGAGGGAGCGTTCACACAGATCCAGGGCAAACTCGTCACCCGAGCATTTCACATTCCTCCACAGCACCTCTCCACCGGCCCGTCCGAAACGAGCGCCACCTGGAATGTCCAACACAAAGCCGCAGTCGAGCTCTCTACAAACCACTGCGGCATCCTCCAGATCCCAACCATGCTGGCACACAGTGCCCCACTGATGCCCATAACGCACCTCCACTCTACCCGAGCACCGCTCACCCGGTTTTTCATTCACAAGCCTGGTGATCGGGTCGTCTGTGGAAATAATGCGAATGAACCAGTGTTGTTATCCTTAGCTGAAACTAAAATTACAAGAAAAAAAAGTAATAATACTACAATTAAGAGAAATACTACAATTATTGAAAATGAAACTTAAAATTATAAATTGAAATATTGAAATAAAGCTAAATAGTATTATAAAAAACCCAAAAACTAATAAAGGAAATGACAAAATTACTAAAACTGAAATGAAAACAGAAAATGTAAAAATAAAACCAAATTCAAAATATCAATAAATACTATAATTTGAAATTCATATTTTAAGATTGATCAGTGGCTTAGAATAGGGCTTCTCAAACTTCCATTCACAGAATGTTTGACAGAAAAAAGTACAAATACAAATACATTAAAAGTACATTTAAAATGTTTTTCTAATATTGAATAGATTTGTTTTTTTTTATTATAGAATATATATATATATATATATATATATATATGCTTATATAATATATATGCTTTTGAAAACCCCAACTGTAGACAACAGCATAAAGTCAATAACTCACCAAAGGCATGAACATCTTCAACAGCAACAGTGCATCCTGTTAAAAATGACAATAGTTAAGGGTACGTTAAAATATTTACATATTCATTCTAAAATTAAGAAACATTTAGCATGTTTTTAGGCTTTTTGGTTATCTGCAATTATACATGTTTCAAATGTACTATGGTTGCAGTTGCTGACAATGTTCATGTCTCCTTAAAAAAAAAAAAAAAAAATTATAATAATAATATATATATATAATTTTTTTTTTAGTAAGAGAAAAACTCCTTAAAAAAAAAAAAAAAAATTATAATAATAATATATATATATAATTTTTTTTTTAGTAAGAGAAAAAATATACATAATACATTTTACTAACCAAGCATTACCAGGCCCAGAAGAATCCTCGACATTGTAGATTTCCCATGTAATGCAAGTGCCAGGGCTTTAGGCTAATTGAATAACTAAATGTCTCGAACTAAATGTCAGCAATCCAAAAGCTGACGGTTCCAGTGTGACTGTGATGAGGACCAGGAGCAAGTTGATGCATAGCACTTCAGTCTACTCAGCTAGCTAGCTAACTAGCACTTCTGAATGCCTATACTCTTTCTGTTCACCTCCATGTGATTTATACAAATTCATTATCCATCATAACTCATGCTTAAAAGCATAATAGTCGATAAATGCAAATAGCACATAACAATGTAGACACAAAAGCTGTAGAATCGAACGGCTAATATGCTAGCGTTGTTGCCCTAAAGTAAAGAGAGTTATTCGTAGAGCGAGATAAAATAAATAACGTTGTATTTACAAAACATTATCGAATTAATCTGTAGTTAGTAATGCTTTGTGAGTTGGTGTTCCTCGCGCGCGTACGGTATTCCCACAAAGAGCGTCATAATGCAGACTGACGTCCGATTCGTGAACGAATCAATCTTTTGAATCGGATCTTTTCGCTAAAAAACTTTCCGAACAAACTGAATCAACAGAACGAAACAACTCACAAGAGCATTTGCAGTGAAGCGAGGATTTGACTGATGGTGCGAAAAGTTACTTTTTATTGTACGTCTAAATTTTGTACCACGAGTTTGTTTTAATAAATGACTTATTAAATTACAGCTAATATTTAAACACCAAAAACTGTTATTCAGGCTAGATTTAAATGAATGTTAAATGCAGATTCTATCTCGCTTCTAAATGACTCATTCTCATTAGCTGAAACATGGCAAATGACACATTAAATTACATAAACACCCTTATTAATAAACAGCATGTATTGAATGTAACTGGCCACCAGGGTGTCCAGGACTGCGTGATGACGTATACGTCGGACGCAGACGAATCACGGAATTGTCTTTTTAACTGATTCTTTCAAAAGAACTGTTCATATGAGTCGATTCGAAGTAATGAGTCAGACGTCCCACTATTCAGATGAGGAGAATGTAACGTTACTGTAGGTGTTTTTTTTTGTTTGTTTTTTTGTACAGTTCTACGACGTTGCCCAAGATCTGCGCACAAAAACGTTCACGCTGATTTGCCTCAAGGCTTAAAAAAATTTTAGGCTTAGACGTGGAAAAATAATACACTCAGACACTTAATTTAATGACACCATACATTTAAATATCACCCAGCTATGAGATCTACAGTATTACAATTGTATGAATCCAACTGACAGTTAAAATATCATCAATTAGTATTAGCTAGAACATTAGAACCATAACTTTTACATAAGACCTTGACTTTTACATAAAACCATGACTTTTACATAAGACTGCTTTGACAACTATTCAGGGGTAAGAATTTATGTGAATAAGCTTGTGGCGACATCATGTGGATAAAATGATAATTACAACACTTACAGCTTTATTCTCCAAACCACTTACCCTCTGTAGTCTGTAGGGTCGCGACGCGTGTACATTTTACTACTAATAATAAATTTGTTACCGTATTTATTAAAATACTGTAATAAATATTTGTTAAAATTAGTTAATAAAAATACAACTGTTCATTCATCGTCAGTGTTAGCTCAGGTCCAGCTTTACAACAGATACAATTTTTGACTTTAATAATGCATTAATAAATGCTTGAAATTAACATGAACTAAGATGAATAAATGCTTTAGAAGTATATTTCATAGTTCATGTTAACTACAGTAGTTAACTAATGTTAACAAATACAAACTTATTGTAAAGTGCACCTGATATTAAGACATTGAATTTTACATACAATACAGTGTTACAGAAAGCTACAGCTTAAAGATTGATGTAAAAAATAAATAAATTAAACGAAACAAAAATAAACATTCATAAATAAATAAAAACCCACACAATGATTTAATTTACTCGGGCTGTCTTCACAAACACCTCTGTTGTGTCATGCAAATATGTTTGTGAATGACGTTTAATTCCAGATACTACTTTAGAGACTTTAACCCGGAAAAGTTCAACGGCTCAAACAAACTTGTTCCTTGTTGATTTCACGTTCCCTATTCAAATCGTGCAACTTCTAAATAATCTCCCTCATTTTAATTAGATCCCAGACACAAATTCACATAGTTTAGATATTGTGAGGGTCACCCCACTATTACCTAGAACCAGGTTATCACTTTAATGATATTTCTCGTTTAATAATATTAAAGTAAAAATTGAATAACAATAAAATTTAATAATAAATATTAAAAAAATGCACTTTTAATGATGACCAAAACAGGTTTATTCAACTATTTATAGCCAACTGCCTATATCTGCATCTTTCTTAAGAAGTGCAGGAGTTCAGGAGTAGTTTTCAGCCCATTCACGTGCATCATTCCGAGCACAACCGTTTCTTCTCTCACCGACCTACTTCTGTTTAATTGGATAAGCATTCAGTCTCTACCGAGAGAGAGAACGAGAGCGAGACCGGCTGGACCCACACCGTGCAAACCGTTATCCACCTGCACGTTCCTCGCTGACGTCACGGCGGGTGGAATAATAGAACAACCGTCGCGCTGTTCTGTTATGACGTTATAAAGCGCACTTTGGAAAATGTCCTCGCGACAGCGCCTCATAACATGCACGGAGTGTCCCACGGCAGCGCAGGCGAACAACAGGTGGATTCCGAGGCCAATCCAGACCTGGAAGTAGCCATACTTCTGTGTCTCTCCGCCCCTATGAATAACCATAGCAAAGACACTGTAAAAGCCAGCGTACCGGAAAGAAGCTGAACGACGCGCTCGCGATATGGATAATTTCAGCGGTGACGTGACGGACAAGATTGACCACTTACACGGTTCATTCGGAATGATGTCACTGTACATCTGATATCGTCTTCTAATACACAGAGGCTGTTTATTTCTGTCCCAAGAGAGTGTTTGTAGACTTTTGGAGTCATGCCTGTCAGTAACGGATCGATGATGGATTTGCCCTCGGGATATGTGAAAGTAAAGGCGCATTACGGAGGGTGAGTGTTGTAAACTTTCACAGGGATAATGTTTTAAAGTTGTCCTGGTTTGTTGTGGTCGGAATATGTCGGAATATGCCCGGCGTTTGGCAGTTTAATGCAAGCACAACATGCTTGCAAACGCACGCCCACACCTGACAAACTTTGACATCTTGAATGTTTTAATACTTCTTCAACGTAAGATCGATTTTTAAACAGCATATTTTGTATTTTAGAGACGTTGTCAGGTGAGGCAGTTTAAAATAATGCAGTTCACAATATCAGACATGCCGTAAAACATCCAGGCCTTTTCAAATCTCAATTCTTAATATGTTCTTAATCTCTTAAATATGAAATATTGCAAATTATATATTAAAGGCTCAATCAGTTATAATAATTAAAACGTTTTACATATAAAGAAATGATCAATATTCTTGGAAAAAAAAAAATTATAAGTATGAAGACTCCAAAGCTGTTTTATTTTACTAGGAGTAGGTTGGCATCTCATGAGTGCCACCATATTGACATCACATGACCAACCATGAAATGCAATCGACTAAGTTGCTGGTATGTTTTTGGTCAGCTAAAAGTAAACAATAACTTACTGAGTGCATCTTTAAATAGGAAATATTGTTGTGGGCTGAAGGTTGTGCTCTTATTGCCACTTGTTGCTTAACACACCTCTCCTTCTTTATTGCATATAGTTGGCTGTAGCATACTTTTTTTAAAGAGGATTTTTATTAGTATTATAAAAGACAAGTTTCAGTCTTCATAATTCATAAAAATAATCTAGTAATTTACTTATAAAAATACCAAAAGCTTTGTTTTATTTTCTGATGCAACACATGACTTGAGTTGACTGGACTGGTTTTGACCCCTACTGTGACTTCTGTCATTATACATTTTTTAAACAACAGTGAATTGTTTCCTACTTGATGATCCTCTTCTGGCTTTAAAATCTAGGCTTTATATTTTGTTTAGACGTCCTTGGCTGAAAGTGGCCATGATGTAAGCAAGATAACAAACACGCACTGTCTGCATACATCACTGTGAATCATTGTTATTAATCAAATCATCACTCATAGACAAACAGCATCAGTGCATAGCGGGTGATAAATAACGCCATTCGCCCACCCTTTAGTCAACAATGTGAATGATATAGATTCATTTCGAAACCTGTCTAAGTCGTAATAGCATTCTTAAAGGGAAAGTTCACCCAAAAAAATGAACATTTTGTCTTGATTTACTCACCCTCTTGTTGTTCCTTAGCCTGAATGAAATCTTCTTTCTTGCCGATAAAATACATACGAGAAGGCTTGTTTTTATCCATGGATGTGGTGAGGTTTTAATTACGTTTTCTGTGAAAATATAATGTTATATGAATACCATTCAAGTTACATAAATGCACTGTTCTTGGTTCTTGTGCTAAGTTTAAAATTTACCAGGTGTTTGTTTGAAAGTAAGCAATGTCAGTAGGCATTAAAGAGATCGTTCACCCAAAAATGAAAGATTTGTCATCATTTACCCACCCTTGAGTTGTTCCAAGCCTGTATGAATTTCTTTCTTCTGCTGAACACAAAAGAAGATATTTTAAAGAATGTTGGTAACCTAATAGTTGCTGGTAGCCATTGGAAAAAAAAAATACTGTGATGGCTACCAGCAACTTTTTGGTTACCAACATTCTTCAAAATATCTTCTTTTGTGTTCAACAGATGAAAGATATTCATAAAGGTGAGTAAATTATGACAGAATTCCCATTTTTGGGTGAACTTTACCTTTAAGGAATTCACTCAAAAATGAAAATACTTTTATTATTTATTAAAAAATTCTATGACCCAAAAATATAAATTCTGTCATCTAGGGGTGCTCCGATTGATCGGCTACCAATCACTATCGGCCGATAATCGCTTTGGGATGATTGATCGGCTGTCTCTAAAAAGGCCAATCTCAAAAAAACAATCTATCCAATTTTAATTTATATTATTAATTGCATTACTTTTTAATTCTTGCCGGTGTTTAACCATTCAGCGCTCGCACGCTCTCCTGGAGACTGCAAGAGCTGGCGCTCATGCATACTCGCAGCGCACACACATAATGCCAGGCTCACATTACTCCGTTTGCGGTGCGTATTTTTTCAGCGTTCATGTTAACGGATTAAAGCGTTCACTGCACATGGCTGTGGTCCGGCAGTGCGTTCAGGAGCGGTGCGTCTGCAGCAGTGTAGTGATCCACACCGAGTCTATTGCTGCGCTGCAAGCGCTGAATTAAAGTAACAGCGCATTTTTTGCAGTAAATATGAACATGGATTGACATGAAAATGTAGTAATTACACCATAAATGCATATTATTAAAGTCTGCTGTGTTTCACAGTCAACACATATGGCTTTTTGGCTAGGTTTAAAGGGAAATAGCACTTTTAGATAAACAAGGCAATAATAGATGGCACTTGTGGAGGTAGGAAAACAAAGTTCTTTATGAACCGCAGGATTGCTTGTAATAAAGATTTCAATGCAAAAGGAAAGGCAGTAGAGCTAACTATTTCTGTCAATGGTAAGTTTGTGATAACGTAAGAAAAATAGTTTAAATGTCCTCTTTTGGAAGGCCAAACAAAGTAGTTTCGCTTTCACAACGAATCACACAGTGCCTTCACGACATGGCGGCGGCAACAACAATACTACAGCGAGAATAAAAGTTACGCCTTCTTTCTTTGCGTGAACATTTGGGCAGCGTTATGCAAATCTTCCCACATAGTTATGTAGATATGTGGGGGCGTGTTAGAACGAGCCGTTTTAGGTAGGCGTGGCTGACTCTTAACTTTTATAAAGAATATCTCTTTGGATTTGAGACTTTAGTCTTTGCAACTTTACAGATTTTTTTATGCACCAAGAGCTTGTAACACTCCAAAGAGAAAAGAAAAAATTGAAATCGCATCATATGACCCCTTTAAACATTGTCTGTGAAAGATTGTATCACTGTACTGTGTAAAAAAAGAATCACAATGCTGAAAAAGCATTTTCAGTGACAATGTTTGGATTTGAAATCAAAATAATGGATAAATGTTGTGTTTGTGGTAAACAGCCACGGATCAGTAGCGGACTCCTGTGTGAAAGCTGCTTCCCCTCTCACAAGAGTCACCTAAGAGGAGAATTCCCCCCATTTTCAAAAATGAAATTCAGGCCCTGAATAAATGTCTAAAAATCCTGATTGGATTATCACTATAAATAGTTATAAATGATAAAAAGAAGGCTTTAAAAAGATCGGTATCGGCAGATACTGCTTTCTTTGATCGGTGATCAGCCTCAAAAATCCTGATCGGAGCATCCTTACTGTCATCATTTATTTTACTCACCCTCATTCATTTTTGGGTGAACTATCCCTTTAACCCTTATCTTGGTGACAACTGGTAGTAATATTAACTTTCACACCACGAATTAGAGGAGAAGGTACCAATCAAATTTGGCTGTTTAGGAAATATTTATGCTATTTTACATGGAGAAAAATGAAATCAGCTGTGTATGATTGTATTTTACTCTTTTGTTTGAAATATAGTATTTAAATTCATGACTTATTTGGGTAGTCAAATAATGAGGAACATAGATTCTTCACTTTATGTTATATTAATACTCATCTCTAGGCTGGCTGTTTCAAAAATATGAATATTGTATAAACATTCTGTAGATAAAAGCATGAGATAATGCACCATAACTAGTGGTCGACCGATATATCGCCAAGGCCGATATATCGACCGATATTTGGCATTTTTCAAATATCGACATCGGTCGATAAGTTTTTCTGTTTGGCCGATGTGTTCGAGGCGGGACTTTTATTTTGACGGCGCTGAGAATGGCAGCCGCAGCGCCTGAGCGCACACCGCTCACATTCTCCCTCTTGTTCGCTGTCGTCGTTCAGTTCTGTCTAATATGGATATAAGTCTATCTAATAATCAGATAGAACTGTTAAACAAATGAATTAAAATGTATACAAAAAGTATTATAACGATTGCTTTAATATTATTAGTAATAGAAAGGCAAACATTATAATACTTTCTCATTTGCCGTCAGCATTCAGCAAACACGCATTTATATCATTTAAACAAATCTTTGAATGACTAATGAAGATTTAATTTCACAAACCTTGCAGACTTGGTCGAATCTAGTGGAGATCTTGTGAAGTGTGCATTTGTATCCTGCATGATTGCGTGTTCTCTGTGTGACGGTCGGTCCGTGCGAATTGAATGCTGACAGGAGGAGAGTTCAGCTTCACTGGAGACGCGCGATCGACAAACTTTAAACTAAGTTAGTGATTTCAAATTATGCTGCACTTTATGCAATTGCCCACTGTCATATTCATGTCATTTTCATTGCGTGCTGTATGTGTTACCTTGGCTTTATTTGGAAAAAAAAAAAAAAGATTCACGCAAACTTCCCAGAATACTGAGTGCCCTGTTGGTTACCATGTTTACTTCCTTTTTAATTAGATTTTTATTAAATATTTATTTATTTGTGAAAAATGCTTTGCCTTCTAAAGTATAAGTATGTTTATTTTACACAATTATTTTTAATCCATTTTCAAATGATTTCAAATTTCTTAAATATAAATAAAATTATATCGGCCATAGGCCACCCTGCTTTCCAAGATATCAGCATCGGCTGTCACAAAACCCATATCGGTTGACCACTAACCATAACTCATTTTTTGACTTCATAGATGTGCTTTACATATTATGTCCTGCTGTTTCAGTGGGTGGAGATACAATAGACCTTTGATTCAAGAGCACAATTACCTGATGGCGTGCCAGTGAACCTGCTACAGGAAGTGAAGAGTTCCTCAGTGTCTGTGGAAATGTGAATTTCTCTCTTACATGAGTGGGTAAATAGCTCTCTGAATTTGGGTCAGGCCTTTCGGAGTGTTTTGAAAGCCTTGGTGATTCCCACTTTTAAAAATATTTTGGAGGAAGTTAACACCAGGCGGGACAGAAATCTTGGTGACTGGCTGACAAGTGACAACCTGAGCCAGGCAGT